TCTTCTGTTTGATTTACCAGGTGTATTTGGTAATGCTTTATATTCTAATAGTAGCTGACATATATTTGTATATCCAAAACTTACAACTTCTTGCTATAAAAAAAAGATTTATAATATATAAATAGCATAAAAACAATTATTATAGGACAATATAATCACCAAAGGTGTCCAACCAGTGAAGTCTTTTGTATTTGGTTCAGCACCAGCAGCTAATAAATTTTTTACATGACGCTCTTGATTCTGTAAGTATATGATAAAATTATTAAATTTTGTTTGATAAGTTTAATTATATTTTGTAATTATTTCAAGTGTCATAAATAATAAAAATTAACCTTCACACATGCTATATGTAAATATGTTTCTCCTTTAGCATTTCGTTTATTTATATTCTTTGGTATAGTATATTTTGAACTATTTATTATACAAATAGAATTATTTGTTATTGCAGACAATTCTATTGCATTTGAATTTGTGGCTGAATTCCATAAATCTCTATTAAATTTATATCAATTATATATTAATAAAATATACAATATATTTATTAAAATTTTAAAAAACTATATAAAATTCACATAAAATTTTTAAATAATATTGTCAAAAATATATATCTCAATGTCAAAAAAAATCTTTATATTATATTATATATATTTAATTATATATTTGAAATAATTTAAATATATTATAAAAGATGAATAAATTATGAATATATAAACACAAATTAATGATTTAAATTTATAATACCTTTCTTGTATTATTTCTGCAATGTTATTACAATAAGAAACAAGATTTTTAATTAAATGATCATTACATATTTCGAGTGGTCGTACAGGTGTGTTACATATTACACATTTTAAATCTTTTTCAATGCATTGTTTGCAAAAAAAAATGGCAACAATTAGTATATTTTGTTGCATTTATTGGCTCATTTCCGCTAAAATTAAAAAAAAAAATTATATTTATTTTTAAAAAAAATTATTATAAAAATTGAACGAAAGAATTTTATATTTTATAAATTATGAATAAGTTTTAATTCTAAATTGATAAATAAATAATACTCAACGATAAATTATATATAAATAACATTATTAAATTATACATAAATAACATATGAAGTTTAAAGAATAATATATAATATATATTTTTTTTAATTAATATGTTATTAATTATTTTCATTTATTTATTTTTTATATTAATTTCTTTTATTATATAGTATTTATCCTAATTATTTTAAAATTCTTACCATTTGTAACATTTTAACACGTTTGCAAAATTTCTTAAAGCACGACGAGTATTTTCCCACGAAGTATTCATTTTCAATTATTATAATGTACTGTTCTATTCTAGAAAATTTTTTATTATTTTATTTATAGTCACGTTTTAAAAATTAAGTGGATATAATCTATTTTTTCATATCTCAGTATTTATAATAATTCTCAGTATTTATCAACTGTTATGTGGCTCCCCGTAGTGGAAATTTAAGTGTATTATATATGAATAATATTATCGAAATAATAAATTTTCGCGGTTTCATTTACTTATCATTTAAAAGCGTCGAAAATATGCATTTGATTTTATATATAATTTAAAATTGCGTTTAAAATATATAATAAATATTCATGAACATTTATTCAAAAGATTGGTGTACTTCATGATTATTATGGATGAATGAAAAATTATCAGTTTTGTGTTTGATTATTGTTACCTACGAAGAATAAATTGGACGTTTTTTGGTATGGATGATTAAAATAATTTTTAAAAAATATTCATAAAATTTTCCATATAATTTTCGAAAAAAAAAAAAAATATTACGAAAATATATCACGTTTATTTAGTCTTAAGAATTACACATGACACAAAATATCATAGCCAACATACACAATGACATATATGTGTGTATATATATATATATATATATATATATATTATTAATGATATATTACTTATATATATATATATATA